GCTGCCATTACCATTAGGTAAGTTACTCGCTTCTTTCCTCTGGCCCATTGGCCTTGAGAATATTAAACGATGGTCAAATTCTCCAAGACTTTTTTCTCATTATGTATGTTAGAAATTTCAACTGTTTATTTCTAATTTCAAGTACAAATTTCCTTTTAGTTTGTATTTTCCTTAATACATCCTCGTTACACCCATTCTTCTGTCTATTGTATTCTCATCATCCTTCTAGAAAGTCATATCTTTATTGCCTCAAGTTTCCTCTTCATTTGTGAGGAAATCTCCCAGCCTTTACCTCCAAATAGAATTAATATTGCATACCAATTAAGCACGACCTGCTTTGTTTTTTTTTTCTAAAATTCTTTAAGAATATTTTTTGGTATTGATAATACTCCCATAATTAGATGAGCAGTTCCACACTCTGTAATGTTTTCAATCCGTTTCAAAGATGAGCTTCCAAGGAACTTAGTACCATTATCTATTTTACTTAGGTCTCTAATTATTATAAGTATAAAATTGATTGTTTTTATGGCTTATAAACCTTTTGCAAGTTATTTAAAGGCAAAAAATATTTTTAGATTGTAAGAATTTTTTACGGATAATAATGACTTACTGATACGAGTCCTACTAATTAATCCATAACTAGAGGAAAAAGAGGGGACTTCATACTTTTCCCGATGACATTTACGTGTGAGTGAATACAAAAAAAAACAGGCTGGAACTGGAACTCAGTCATCGATTTCCAATTCCGAGTCTTTATCACATCACCCGCACATCCAGGCTTACAGAACCCGGTATACCAAAGCGGTCACAAATCTACGTACTGCCAAGTCTCGATGTTGTGTAACTTCGGTGATCATACGAGAACCAGTGTTTCAACCTGATATGACCGTAAGCCCGATATTGGTAGAACAGTAGTTAATAAGATCCTTTCAAAATCTACATTAACTTATTTTGTCTTATTCTTTTTAATTTGATCGCATTGACTTATATATTTTGTTTGTAGTCTTTAATCACAATATCTGATCTTTAGCTTTTATATGTATGCAAATCTGAAAGTTAAAATCCCAATAGTGATTTCATGGCCTGAAGGGTTCAGGTTTATATTCATACCGTGTAATAAGAAAATATTAAGCATCAACTGTAAGAAGACAGAATGCATGTCTGTTAGCAAAAAACTGAGCCCAAAGTGAGAACTGCAAATTGAAGATAGCAAAATCAAACAATTGCTGAAAATTAAATATCTGTGAAGTGTTTTAACAGAGGACGAAAAGGGTGACACTGAAATTCGAAGACATATTGGGATAGTCAAAGATGCATTCCAAAAGCTAAGTTTAGTATTAAGAAATAAAAATACTTCGCTAGAAACGAGGAAAAAAGTACTAAACTGTTACGTGATATCTGTCCTCTTGTATGGCAGTGAGTACTGGATAATCACCTCAAGGATGAAGAAGAGTCAACAGAGATGTGGTTTTACAGAAGGATGCTGAGAATAGCATGGACAGAACATGTGAGCAACGAGGAAGTTTTAGAGAAAATGGAAACAAAAAGCAAACTTATACTTAACGCCAGAAAGAGACAGTTGACATTTCTAGGGCACATAATGAGGAAAGAGGGTTTGGAAAATCTGATACTCACGGAACAGATTGAAGGCAAAAGAGACAAAGGAAAACAACGCATAACCTAAGTGGATAGCTTGAGTAAATGGATGGCAGAACAGAATTTATGGCAAATAACAGAAAAACAAAAGTTATAAAGAGCTGCAAGGGACAGGAAGTTGTGGAGAGCCTACATCCTGAGGGAACACGGCACATAAAGAAGAAGAATGCTAACATACCTTCCAATGAATATACTGTCCAATCATAGCGTGTCGATCTTTGTCTTCCTGTCGTATCAGGATTGGACAACCAGTTATAAAAACACATAACATGTTCAAATAAACTGAATGTTGGGTCTAAAAAATTTTATGATGCTTGCATAGAAATTTTTTTAATCATTTCACTCCAAGCAAGATTATAATCCTCCTAAGACACAAGGGATTACTTGGAGTGAATGAGAATGAAAAGACTTTAATGAGTGTGGGCTGTATCTGTGAGTACAATCATTTGTATTTTTTAAGGGTTTGGCTGTCAGGAATCTCTTCAATGAGTCTATCGGAACCTTTTCCAATCAATCCGAGGGCTACAATTACAAATGAAATCGTTGATGTCCTCATGTGTCACATTTTTGAGATTTCAATGTATTATTATCACTATTATTATTATTATTATTATTATTATTAAGGTACACAGACTGTGAGGAAATGCTATAAAACCGATCTAGTTTATGTCTTGTACAGATCTCAGTGAGATTTAGCCATTTTAGCCAACACATTCATAAAAAGCCGTCCGCGTACTTTCAATTGCGTTCAACCGAGCAGCAATAAACTAAATATTTAGAATTCATTATAAACAATTTTCAGCAAGCAGGTGTATCTCTTTGGCCATAATAGACTAATTCGAAGTGAATGGAGATTCGGTTATTTATGGTAGAGATGTAAAGCTTCTAAAGACAGTCATATTTATCAACATTTAATTTTAACTTGTTTGTTTATATCTCTTTTCGTTCGTGCATACCTTCCTCTTTCTATCTAGATTCGTTCCGTCAGGACAACAACAAACCTTACCCCGCTTTCCAAACTTGGTAGAAACTGGTACGGCGTGGTTGGGATGTCATATTACACACGCCATATGCACCTTCGAATTAACACAGATTTCAATCTCAACAAAATTCTTTTAATGATAACTCCGATTCACTGGAAGACTATGAAAACCACTTAGACAAGTTCATCACCCATAGTGATGCCAAGTTCTGCGAGGATGGAATTATGAAAATTCTTCAAAGATGACGAAGGGTGTTGGAAATTTGGTATATATAGGTTTGAATAAATCGATGTATAAATATATAGATATTGTCGTTGAAGTTCACATAAAAAACATTCATACTCAATATATACATACACTCATATATATATATATATATATATATATATATATATATATATATATATATATATATATATAGGGTGAGATGGCTAAATTATCGTATAAACAAAGTAAAAAAAAATGAAAATTATACTGACATCTCATTTTAACAGATATATATACCAAAATTACGCAAAAATATCTTGAAATGCTAAAGAGTAAATTTATTCAATAAAATCACCATTGTTGTTAACCACGGCCTCCAGTCGACATCGGAATTTCCTGAAACTCTTCTGTATGGTCTCCTTGTTAAAGTGGGTAAATGCTATTATAATCTTTGCATTCACTTAATTTTTGGTGTTACAAGGAGTTTTGTTGTTCTCGTACTCAACTGCGTCCCCAACATAATAATCAAGTGGGTTGCAGTCTGTGGAGTTAGGTTATCAGATTTAAGAGGTGATGTGGTTACAGAAATTCTCTGACAGCTATAAATGGGTGCTCCTGTTCGTGTGGCATGGTGCAGAGTTCTGTTGCCTGACATCAGATCTTCCAGCAGCCACCCTCCTAACTCAGAGCAAAACTACTTCCTCAAGGCACTTGATGTAGGCCTCCCTGTTGAATCTAAAGCCCTCACCAACAAATTCGGGAGTTCTTTTCTTATCAAAACGATCAGAGAGAGTTTCCACGTTTCCGTACCTTCGTGATCACCATTACACTCATCTGACTCTTTTCGAATCCTCTTCCTTCACCCCAGATTGACACCCAAATTCTGAAATATTCGTATTGGAGCTCCGGTACAAATGCCAAGCACTACAGCATGTCGTTTCTTAATTTCTGGCGGAGTGAATTGCGCCATGGTACTCTTTTTCTCACAGATGGTGCTCAACTGAACCTACTTTACTGTACAGTCGACAAAATTCAAAATAAACAGCATGCATGCGCGAAATTAAGAATATAAAATGCCGACAATTTACCCATCGCACCCTATATCCATTGTCCCAAGCGCTTTCGGTCACTTCATTAGCCATTTTCAAAGGGGTTTGTTTTAGGTGTTGTCAGTTTCTCTTTATGTTTTGGCCGTTTAAGATTTTATTTTATTTTTGTGTTATTTAGAATACTAGTAAGAGCAATTATTCCGAACCATTGTTTGTTGAGTGAGCGTCTTTCAATTATTTTTTTTAACTTTTAAAAATCCATTCCCACTCTTAAATAAGGTGAAGTTGATAGTGGGAGGTAGATGTTTGATATAAAGTAGACATCTCACGAGTCACTTATCAGATCAAAGTGCTATAAAAAAAAGTCATCTATCTGCGCACAATTTACAAGAACTCTTAAGAAAAATTATTTGTGGAAAACACTAAAATTCTATTCCCATTGCCGGAAACATCTTGCTATTAGAGAGACCCTGTATATTAATCATCTCTAAGATTTTTATTCAATGTCGCTTGTGTTCGTATAAGTGTTTTCTTTTCTGGGCATAAAAAATAAAGTTTGGCAAAATAACCATTGCCAACTCTAGGTACATATGTAAAAATCTACACATCCAGCTAAAAAAATAAAATAAAGAAGAAAATAAAGAAAAGCATCCTTGAAAATACCTAAAAGAATAGCCGAAAGCGCACGAATATACAAAGCATTCGGACAATTTTTGTCTACATTATATCCATAAATGAAAACACTTTTACGAACACAAGAAAAATTGAATAAAAAGCTTAACCGCAATCAGTCGTCTTAAATGAAACTTGTGTATATATATATGTGTGTGTGTGTGTGTGTGTGTGTGTGTGTGTGTGATGCATCTATATATTTCACTCGGATCTGTCTACACTAGTTAACTCAGTTTGTTAATATTAGTGTTAGTGTTAATAAGTATCTTGGTATCTAAGTTCATCATTTCATATCCATCTATTTTTCCTACATATCTTATTTCAGATTTGTGTATCTCAAGCTTTTCGTCGCTATACATCAAATTAATTTACATACTACCTGACTGTATATCAACCTGTCTGAAAATATTTACTTTTACCTCCGTTTCTTTTTATGAATTACCAGTCTCTCTCTCTCTCTCTCTCTCTCTCTCTCTCTCTCTCTCTCTCTCTCTCTCTCTCTCTCTCTCTCTCTCTCTCAGTTTATTTGAAAGTATTAAAATAGTAAGAACCGTAGCCAAACATCTTTGCCCAACGTCTATACCCTCAATAATGCAGATGCATATTCCTTATCAATTTACAAATGGATGCACACTGATGGTTAGAGTTTCCCCAGCTTAATTCTGCAATCTAGATTCTTTTAGGCTCAGCTCATCGACGTATTCTGCTATGAGAAGACACGTTTAGAGTTCCACCTGGCAGTAATAAAAAGATTTATAAATGAAAAATTTCCAAATTTGACTGTTATTAGCTGTCACTTCGAGTTGGTGTGGGTGGATGTTTTACAAGTTTAGATAGTGCTTTATATTGTCCTTCAACCTGAACTTTGGTCGTCTACGCCTTCTCTAAACTTTGATCGCTTCGGCATAAAACAGCTGAAAAACAGGCGTTGCATTTGAAAAGACTACTTGCATTGTTAAGCTTAGAAATCTCTAAGATGAACTGATAACAACGAAAGGAATGATCAACTTTTGAGAAAGCGTCTGTTCAGAGCATAGTTTTCAACAAAAAAAAATGCCGACACGTCTTTAGCACCTGTCCATTTTTTATCTTTTAGCCACTAATAAATATCTCTACGCAGCAGTATTTCGGTACCGTTATTCGTGTCAAAAAGGCAGATTCAAAATGTGCTGTATGCATGAAGAAACGTGGCATTAGCTCACATATGTGAACATCTTGTCAGTATTAGTATTTTAGACTTTTTGCTTTGGTTTTATGAAGGAATACGCGAGGATCACCTCTATATTCTGTCTAGATCCCTAGAAAATTAGTGAATACAAGTTTAGTTTCCCAATAGATTTATTCATGTATTTCATCTATTTCCTTTATTAATTCCATCTTTTTTTTTTCTCAGTGTGTGACTTGCTAGAAGATAAGGTACTTTTTACTTTGCATATATTGCCAAACATCACTGTGGTTAATCCTCCGCCTGTTCCTCTTGAATTTCTTTTTTGCTTATATTTTATGTATTCCTCCTCCACTTTCCTCGGGTGAAACCTCTGGAATTGGTATTCCGATGACATTTGTAAATAAATGAAAGAAAAAAAACAGAAGCAAAAATGTACGTGTGCCCACGTAAGTAAATAGAAATAAAAGACTTCATGAAGACTTAGCAAAAGAAATCCTCTTTCGCATTAAGAGTAACGATATCTCTCCATATAAATATCACCCTCCATCTTCTTTTACACTCAGTTTTTCTTGTGTGTACTTTTCTTTCTTTTCGCTTTCTTTTTTACTTAAAGTCATCTTCACCTTGTGCATTGTTTTCTCGGCACGTATCTCTTTGCGAATGTCTGTACTTCCTGGTAAGTATATATACATACATGTATGTATGTATATACACATAAAGAAAGAGACGTGTGTGTTTATATTGTGTGCTTTTATCATAAACATATTTAAGAAGATACACGTGCGATTCATTATCATGCTTATCTCTGTGCGTGAATAAGGAAATATGTTTATCCTTTTGATCGTAACATAAAATATCTATATAAAGATATTAGCAATGTACTGAAAAGTTAAATTTAATAATGCCATTTCCTTTTTTTTGTAAGCAAGCAATACTTTCATGTTCTATTCAAATAAAATCTTTAAGCATATAAATGTATCAAAAGACATAGAAAAACATAATATGGGATGATTTTAGCTTTTAAAACCCTCGTTAATATACTAGAAAGGCAAGAAGGGTATATTCAAGGTCAACTTCAGCCTAACTTAAAATTCAGTATTCAATATCTGTCTTCTATATTAACTCGAGCAATGCAACCAATTAGGACTTGAATATATATGGGATTATATGAAGAAGGTCAAATACTGATCAATAGATTTCGATAAGACAAAGATTTTGAAAAACAAAGACGAACATTAGATGGATAAATAGATAAGTACATATTCTTTTAGGAAAATTAATAAAACTCCGTGAAATCTGCCAGAGAAAAATAATATTAATACAGAAATGCTGAGTACGGCAGAAAATATATATTCACAAATGACGTCATTGATGACGTGTACAAATTGCAGTCTGCAAAATACAAAAATCTCCATCGCCCCAGCTCCCATCTAAACGACTGCCACTGTTCACGTTTTCCTGTTATGAACTATGTCTTTTTTATTGGTCCTCCCCCAGCACTTTACGTGATCTCCAATAAAGAGGGAAAAAGTTGCGGGAAGAGTTTGAACTGTAAAGAAAGACGAAGCTCTTGAAACATTGGCTCGCCGCTCAGCGAACGAATCATATTTGTCGGAATCGTGCGCGCGTGCAAAAAGGTAGACCCGATTTTCGCGAAGTCTTATTTATATAAGGAAGGTCAAAACTCACTAAATACTTTTTATAGGTGTGATCTGACGTATCGTGTTACTGGTATATATGTAATTGTTTCTTTCACTCTTAGTGCATTGTTCTTTACTTCTTCAGGCTTGTACGTTCAAATAATTTTCCGGCCCAAACTTTTCAGACATGGCACTAAAACTTTTGGTAAGTATATTCTAGAAAAAATATTCCTTTAATATAATTACTTTTTACCGTTGGTGTTATTAATTTTGTTCTTGTTTTTAATTTGTTTAAAATTTTGATTTCTATTTTTTGTAATATTAATGATTTTCTCAAATCTTTCTCTTTTTTTTTTCTACTTTCATTCCCTCTTTCATTTTCTTTTTCCCCAGTTTTCCAAATTGCTTTTTTCCAGTCTCATTACTTTATCACGTTGATTTTTATTTACTAACCTCTTTTATTTTATTTAATTTAACTATATATTAAAAGATTTTCTTCATATTTCCCTTAGTAACATTAATCTTACAATTTTTATGTGCTTATGTCGTTTTTTCAAATGAACAAAATTATTGATAATTCATTGCGCATGCGTACTTACAAGATGAGGTCTAAAGTCACTGAGATATCTTTTGTTTTAAATTGTACTTAAACTAACCATCAGCGTTTAAAATCAACACCTTGACCTGACTAACATTTTTTGAATATAAAGTGAAAGTGGTTACTTCTGTGTTCAAAGATAATATTGCAATCGTGTTTAGCAGAAATAAGTATATTAATTAGATTCAAACCGACACAAATTAATTAGTTTATCTTTTGCAAATACCTATACTCTGATTTTAAAATCTAAGTAACTATATACATATACACACTGCATGGTTTTGTGAAGGCGTGGCATGATTTTAAATTTATTTCTACTTTATCAGACGATTTTTTTTTTTTTTTTGATTTTTAACTCTTTTTTTATTAACTTTCTCTTTGGGACGTTTAATCTATCCGGAGAAAGATAACAGAACCAGTCACTACTGACTGCAAAGCTGAGGCCCTTATACGGTCGTAACTGCTGGATGGTCACATAAAACGACAAGTGCGTTCAACGTTCTTTTACTAATCAGTATTCCCAAATACCAAATAAAAGTGTTTGGCGTAAGGATCACTTTCAACTGACACTGATTGTAGGCAACTCTCAACTGACAACTTGAATCTCTCTTTAAGAAATAACTGTTTGATTACTGGTGATAGAGAATAGCGCAGTGGTCCTCGTGATTTGAGGTTGTCTTATATTACACACACAGACACACACATATAATATACATATATATATATATATATATATATATATATATATATATATATATATATATATATATATATATTTACCTACATAATGGTAAAACATTAGTGGTAATATTGTCTTCATCTAGCTAACCTGTTAGCATTACGTGGGAGATATTTCTGGGGTTATATATAGGAGGTATTTCTGCCAAACCTATTGCTAATGTTTTTCCTACACAAACTTCGAACTGCATGCTTAATATTTACTCACGAATCATGAACATTAACAAAAATCAAATATTGCTGAAAAATAAATTTGTTTCGAAAAATAAATTATTTGGCTACACATGCATATATATATATATATATATGTATATATATATATATATATATATATATATATATATATATATATATATATATATTTCCGCTGAATATGGTTGAGACTAGTGTATTAGGTCCACTGACAAATTTTATTTTTCATTTTGCCTTTTTTTTGTTTTACTTTGTTTTTAGCTTCTTTTTTTATCGTGTTCTTTTTCTTTTTCCAGCTTTTTCTTTCTTTCCTTCTTTCTTTCCTCCTTTCATTTCTTCTTTCTTTCCTTCCTTCTTTCCCCCTTTCATTTCTTCTTTCTTTCTTTTCTTCCTTCTTTCCCCCTTACATTCCTTCTTTCTTTCCTTCCTTCTTTCCTCCTTTCATTCCTTCTTTCTTTTCTTCCTTCTTTCCCCCTTACATTCCTTCTTTCTTTCCTTCCTTCTTTCCTCCTTTCATTCCTTCTTTCTTTCTTTTCTTTCCTTCTTTCCTCCTTACATTCCTTCTTTCTTTCTTTCCTTCCTTCTTTCCTCCTTTCATTCCTTCTTTCTTTCCTTCCTTCTTTCCTCCTTTCATTCCTTCTTTCTTTCCTTCCTTCTTTCCTCCTTTCATTCCTTCTTTCTTTCTTTCATTCCTTCTTTCCTCCTTTCATTCCTTCTTTCTTTCCTTCCTTCTTTCCTCCTTACATTCCTTCTTTCTTTCTTTCTTTCCTTCCTTCTTTCCTCCTTTCATTCCTTCTTTCTTTCTTTCCTTCCTTCTTTCCTCCTTTCATTCCTTCTTTCTTTCCTTCCTTCTTTCCTCCTTTCATTCCTTCTTTCTTTCTTTCCTTCCTTCTTTCCTCCTTTCATTCCTTCTTTCTTTCTTTCCTTCCTTCTTTCCTCCTTTCATTCCTTCTTTCTTTCTTTCCTTCCTTCTTTCCTCCTTACATTCCTTCTTTCTTTCTTTCCTTCCTTCTTTCCTCCTTTCATTCCTTCTTTCTTTCTTTCCTTCCTTCTTTCCTTCCTTCTTTCCTCCTTTCATTCCTTCTTTCTTTCCTTCCTTCTTTCCTCCTTTCATTCCTTCTTTCTTTCTTTCCTTCCTTCTTTCCTCTTTACATTCCTTCTTTCTTTCCTTCCTTCTTTCCTTTCTTCTTTCTTTCTTTCTTTCTTTCTTATCGCCTTTATTTTTCTGTTTCTTCCTTTTTCTTCTTTCTTCCTCCCCTCTTTACTTTGTTGCTCCATTGTTCTTTTTTTTGTTTCCTCATTCTCCTTAGTTTTCTTCTTCTTCCCTAACTTCTATTCATCTTTTTTCTAATTAATGCATCCTAGTCTTAATGACGATTTAACAGAACTCAAAACGAAAAGTTACTTATACTCTGAATAACTGATGTTCAAATTCTTTAGATATCCTCTAGGGTGAATGCTTCCTTATCAGCGACTGAGTGCTTTAGGTGCTAAAACTCTCGTTTACTATGGAAGCCTGTAACGGTTTTTTTAACAATTCACATAAAGCTCCTTTTTCTTAGGCTTATATGTAAACATGTAATTTATACGTTGTCCGCTACACTTGAATATTTGTTTGACTTACCTAGTTTGTTTTATTCTTAGTTTACGCACATGAGGAAATAAAAGAACAAATTTTACTCAACGAATTCTATTGGAAGCTACTCTTAATTTGATATAAAAGATATTGTGCTGAAACAATGAAAGCATTCAGATGAAATATTTCTGTATAAAGATAGCGAAATGGATCCATCTAAATATAGTCTTAAATTGGAATAATGTCGAGTGATTTTGATATTCTTAATATTAATAATGGGACAATATTCAGTTCTTTCCATCACAAGAAACAAAGAATTCAAATATATTTTCTAAAACTCATTTCGCCCAACAAGATCTTCTCTGTAACTTATCTCATTATTTAGTAAGGATAGATTAGTAAACTTAGTTTAACCCCTATACCATCAGGGAGGCATGTTCGTAAGATCGAACTTACAGTTCTTGCCAATCGGCGATGGTAACATCTTGAAAATCATCGCTCTACAACATGTGCTCTTATCATTCAGTATAGACAGAGAGAAATTAATTTTCAATTAATTTGTCCCAAGGGTATAATTGGATGCTGTATAAGAACGAAATTCACTATTAATGTCTTCTTTGTGGCAGGATTACCACCGTACGGTAATGTGTAAAATCTCTTCCGTTCTGTTCCCCTCTATCGCACTCCCTCCTTCGCACACTATGTCACTCTCATTCACTCTCTGACAAATTCTCCCTCTCTCTCTCTCTTCTGCTCTCATGACACCATGTTTTTCTCTCGCTCATAATCTCTCCCACCCTCTCTCCCACTCTCTCTCTCTCATTCTCTCCTACCCTCTCTCCCTCACTCTCAGTATCCTACATATATGCATTAAGAAAAAGAGAGCAATGATGACAGCTACGTCCAATTGTGGGAAGAAGCCTTTTTGGTTTTGTTTTATTTTGGCTTTTTTGTTCTTTTGATTTAATTTGTTTTGTTTTGTTTTGTTTTTGTTTTTTTTGATTTTCGTTGTTGTTTCTGACTCAAAAACCTGCAACATAAATTCCCACATTGAAATAATTCGTACTTCAACGTGTTTTGAATAACCATAACATGAAAAAAAAAACATTTCCCAATTCATTGTATTAGTGTCTCCATAAATATACCAGCCTATTAACAATTGTAAACTGTTTCTCTTTGTTCCGACATCGTTACAATAATTTCGAGCATACCCGTTGTTTGTTTTTGATTTTGTTGACTGCACAGTATAGTAGGGTCATTTGGGTACCGTCTGTGAGTAAAAGAGCACCCTGACGCAATTCATTCCAAGATAAATTTGGAAACGACATGCTATAATGCATGGCATTTGCAACGGAAGCTCCAATACGAACATTTCCAAGTGTTTGGGTTTCAATCTGAGGACAGTGCAGAGTATTCGGAAAGAGTTGGATGATATATCCAATCAACATTATGCTGTTTGAGTGATTAATAGTGATGGCGACATTATGCCTCCATTCATCTTCCCACAAGACTTCAGGCTCAACGAGATGTGCCTTGAGGAGGTAGTGCTGTCCTGGGACCCTACGTCTGACAACAGAACTCTGCACCATGCCATACAAGCAGGAGAATCCAGTCATGGCTGTCAGACAATTTCTGCAGCCACATCACCCTTTATATCTGGCCATCTAACTCCGCAGACTGCAACCCCCTTATGTGGGGCGTAGTTGAGCGAAAGACCAACAAAACTCCTTGTAACACCAAACATGAACGGAAAGTAAGAATTATTGTAGCATTCACCAATTTAAAGAAGGATACCGTCCAGAAGAATTGCAGGAGATTCCGAAGTCATCTGGTGTCATTGATTGAAGCCAGTGGCGATCGATTTTATTGAACAAATATATGTTAAAATGAGATGTCAATGTTATTTCCATGTCTGCGGAATTTAGACGACAATTTATCCGTCGAAACGATATAGTGTGTGTGTGTGTGTGTGTGTGTGTGTGTGTGTGTGTGTGTGTGTGTGTGTGTGTGTGTGTGTGAACGAGAGAGACAAAGAGTGCGTACGGGCGGAATGGCAACAGTGTTACAGGCTTAAAACATTGTCGCCATTTTATATATACATGGAGTTGTGGCTTTCATTGCCCTAAATTGCTTGATTGTTTTTATTATTGGATATTTTTTATCAATTTTTCTAACTCACAATGAACGAAACAATCACAGAAAACGTGTTTCTGTACATAAATTCAGCTTTATTCAAAACCAGTTTTTTCCAAATATTTTTGAAAACGCCTTCAATTCATTAGTAACAAAGTTTTTACTTGCATTCTAGCAAATCATTTGTATTTGATTATACGCTTCTTATTTTAAACCGTATAACTGAGACTCGCATTCTGTAATTTCCTCACAATTTATGTTTGAAGGCTCATATATAGAATATATGCAATTATTATATATGTACCTACGTTTATAGTAATATATACGCAGAGATGTTTGAAGATAGATGGATAGATAGATATACAAAAATTTAGAGGAATTTGAACAAGCTCATCAACCTGTACAACAGCAAAATTAGTAATTTTTCGTGCTTCATTGAAAGTTTCATGCTTCTCTGGAAATCAAAACCACCAGGAAATAAATCATCCATTTTCTATTCATTTCCTCCTTTGACGCACTAATTTCCCTGAATTTCTGGATATAAATTTTTCTACATACATATATACATACATACATACATATATATATATATATATATATAGGGGAAGGTGTAATGGACGTTATGATCAACACCCATCGGCGACAGTCTGTTTCATGCTTAAACGAAATCTTCAGGACTGAATGTTGCGTTTCAGCGTCAAACAGACCGTTGCTGATAGGTGTTGACCGTAACGTCCACTTTTATATTTACACACTCTATTCCTGATATATATATATATATATATATATATATATGTGTGTGTGTGTGTGTGTGTGTGTGTGTGTGTGTGTGTGTGTGTGTGCACACACACACACACACACACACACACAGAAGAATGTTGAATTATCCGCCTTAGTTCAAATTTCGGTCGCTTGTTTTGTTTATTTTGAACAAATGCCTTTAGAAAAGGCCTCAATATATTTGCTCTAGATCTGGGATAAATAGTAGGGCGGGTTTGACACTTTTGCCGGTCAAGGAGAAGGATAACTCTAAATTCAATCCATGACTTTCCAGGGAAAGTTTAAACACATGTACTGTCCCACCCTTTTGACATAATTCCGGAGAAGCTAATCTACGTGACATTAGAGCATAAGGAGAACTGTTTTGTGATTTATTGGCACATCGTGAACTTCTTCTGTGTTCTTAGTTCTTCTGAATAGTGAAGCTGGTTCTACAGATTCTTTCGCCACTGTAAATTATCATCTGGTTGAATAGTCTAGCAGTTCAGTTCTAAACCATTGGACTCTCATCTATCGAAATTAATGGGAATCCATCATATATGATATAGACATGCATTAAATGCTGGAAGGATGCGTTTACATAAGTAATATCTAAATATTTATTCGAACATTCCCATAACTTCCTCTTGCCAACTAATATAACTGTATAAGGAGAGTCAAAATTAAAATATAATTCTTATATATATATATATATATATATATATATATATATATATATATATATATATATATATGATGCAAATACATGATGCGGCAGAAATACCTCCTGCATTTACCTCCCAGAAATACCTACCACATAGCGGTTAGACATTAGTGGTAATGGTGTCATCATCTAGCTAATGTCTTACCATTATACCTTTTATGTGGGAGGTATATGAGGAAGATATTTCTGCCACACCCTGTATTATTGAATGTGTGAACAGTTTATATATATATATATATATATATATATATATATATATATATATATATATATGCATGTGTATGTATGTATGTATATATATATATATATATATATATATATATATATATATATATATATATATATATATATATATGTATATATATATATGTATGTATTTATATATAAATGCCCAGGAATCCGTCAAGCCTTTTATCTACTAGCTTTATCCCAACCTCTTTCGTCCAGCCACTCGTGGGATTTTCTCCACGCGTTGCATTCCTTTTGCCCTACCATTTCTCCAGCCCTCCTATTCCTATCTGTATTTGAAATCAACTCATTCCCCTCCCTGATCTGACACCCACTTCATGTACTTCTCCCTTTTCGTGTCTCACACCTCCAGTTTTTTTAAACGCGCCATTCCATGAATGGAGATTCAAGCGGTGCAGACTATGATGAAAAGCATCTTAATATGCGCTTGCTTATTTTATTTATTTGTTACGGATTTTCTGGTTGCATCTTTCAACCACCTTCCCGCCATTTTTCTAACTATCCATCTTCACTCTTCCACTCTCTTTGTCTCTATCCGTTTATATATTTCATCTCGCTCTTGAGTACTTGCTTTTTCTTTTATATTTCTGCTCTCTCTCTCTCACTCGCACACACACATACTCTCTCTCTCTCTCTCTCTCTCTCTCTCTCTCTCTCTCTCGCTTTAATTGTTGCTATCTCTTAATATGTTTCCTTATATATTCTTGCATTTTTTCTTTCAGACATTAAGTTTATCTTTCCCATTTTTCTTTTTATTGCCCTTTTTCCATATTTATGTTTCTCTCTCTTTTTTTCTATTTCTTTCTTTCTTTCTGTTTTCTTCGTTCATTTATTCTCTTTTAGACATCGTTTTCTTTAGCGGTCTTATTTCTTACTATTTCCTCATATCTTATACTTTATTCACTAAATCCTTTTCCGTTTTCTTCTCCCAGACGCTTTCCTTTGGTTACATATTATTGTTCCGGTAAGGCTCATAGATTTTACATTGTTTCCTCTAGAAATAATTCAATATTCTTCTAAAATTTTTCGGCAAACATGAGCAAATAATTAAATTTTATTAATGTCTAATAATACAGTTTTAATAATCTCGGATTTTCTCTGGTTCTCTCTCGTTCATTTTCTTTTGTTCTTATGCATTTTTGCTCTTCTTTTCTTCTTTTCTTCTCCTCTTTCCTTATACATGTCTTTATTTAGTCTTTCCAATAAGCTCCATTTCCCTTTCTTTGTATCTGTCCCTCGCAGACAATTTATATTTTGTGTTACTAATTTTCCTTTACTTCTTTTTGTATCTTTTTATTTTTTTTTTAATTCTCTTTCTTTTTCGCTTTCTTTATTTCTTTTACTCTTTCTATTTCTCACATTCTTTTTTCTTACTTTTATTCTTTCTCTTGCTTTTAGTCTTTCTATTTTTCTCATTGTCTTTCTTTCTTTTAATATTGATATTCTCTCATTCTCTTTCTTTTACTCTTCCTAATCTGTCATTTTCTTTCTTTTTTACTCTTTCTGTTTTCTCTTACTCTATTTCTTTTAATCTTCCTATCTCTCATCCCATTTCTTTCTTATTTATTTCTTTAGTTCTTTCTTTTGCTCTTCGTCTCACTTTCTAAAGCTATCATCTCTCGTCTTTCATTTATCTCTTTTTTATATTTGATATTTTTTGTCTTTGTTTTGACATCTGTATCTTTCTCTCTTTCTCTTTCTACATTGATCCCTTTTCTCTCGTTCCTTATAGATATTAACTTTTTACTCTCTTTCACTCATAACGGCATCTACATTGGTACGACTGGATTGCAACACAGCCAAAACATTCCGTTTCACTCTGTATATTTTCATAAAGTCTCGCGTTTTCAACGCCGCTCCGCCAGTCTTTTGCATAAAGCTGTCGGCAGAATGTCTTACAGAAAATACAAAAAACTTGTGTTATTTCCTCTTAATCCCAATGGCGAATTCCACTTAACCTTTTACCTTTTTATTCTAACTATCCTGTTCATCTTATCTTTGCTTTTCTTCTTTTTCCATCCTAACACCTTCCTCCCTCCTTTCCTTCCTTCTTTCCTTCCTTCCTTCCGTCCCACCTTCCATCATTCATTCACTCCTTCCTTTCTTCCTTCTTTTCTTCCTTCTTTCTTTCTTTCCTTCCTTCCTTCCTTCCCTACTTCTTTCCTTTATACCTTTGTTTTTCCTTTCTCTTCTCTTGCTTACCTCTTTGTTTACCATGGAATCCATGATTTTTATACTGCTATTTCTTTCTTTTTTGTCTCTTTTCAGTTTCCTTTGTCTTTTTTATTTATTCTATTTCTTTTCTCTTTCTTCTTGGTCATTTTCTTCTAGATATCTTTCATCCCTGTCTTTCTACGCTTCAGTTTTATTTCTTTGTCTCTACCATTTCTCTATTTCTTTTTCTCTTTCTTTTTTCCTTCTTCATCTTCTTTCTTTCTTTCCTTATTTATTTATTTACTTCTTGTTACCTTAAATACAAATAAAGTTTCACATCTACAAAAGTCTAGTGAGACACCATTAGGTAGCACTGTATTTTTAAACATTGGTCCAAAGACTGAAAAATGCACGGACCTTTCTGATTTGAATTGCACAGACAAAGCTTTATTCGTCATGAAACGCAAAGCTTAAAAATTTAAACAAAATCACTTTTGACTTTCTTTCAGTTTTACTTCTAATTCTCAAAGTGCATGAACAAATTGTTCTTTTAATATGCCCCAAAACAAACATTTTTGAGGTGCCAATGGTCAGTTTTCTATTCCTTTTGATAAACTGGAAAATCGTCAAGAATACCTTAGCAATCTCCTACTAAAATTGTAAACAATATCTTAATAATGTCTACGATGATCGTTCGGCTGTCTCTATGATTCCTAAATGAGTTTACCATTTGCCCACAAGACAGCGAAAGCACTATATTCTGTTCTGCATGTGTTCATTTAAAATAAAAGTTCTTTGTTAGACAGAAGTTTGTTTTTAGTTTTTCCAATTAATTTTTTTTTCATTTTCATTTTACTTATCTACCTTTTTATTTTCCTTCTCTGAACGCGTATAGAATCTGTACATTAAAATTAAATAAACAAGGGGGTTCTGTGAATTGAAATCTCATCCTGGAACTACACGAAAACTACTGTTCTGCTATCTTCTGTAAAATAATATACAGGTTTGTTTTTATTTCCGACGGAGTATAAGTTTCAACTCTAGTCATAACAATTCCTCCTTGTGAAAAATGTAAAATTCAAAAGTACTTAACCGACCACAATAAAGAAAGACTTTCTGTCATTTTTTTTTCAACTAGTAATTCTTTCATATATACAAAATTGGAGGCACCAAAATCAAACAAATACAAGAATTTAAATACTGACTGAGTATATAGTACGCCACAAAGAACTTTTGGAGCTGCTAGATAAACTTGACATATTTTGGAAGGACATTAGAATAATCCAGAACTAATACTTGCAGCAAATCGCCTACATGCGGATAGAAAATGAGTTCAGTAAATATACAAATTTAGAAAGGAGTGTAAGACAAGGATGTATCTTCTCATTGGATTTATTCAACCTATATAGTAAAGCGATTCTCAGAGAATTAGAAATCCTACCAGAATTCATTATTGTCGACCATAATCATAACGTAAGGTATGTAGATGACAGTGTTGAGAGCAGATACAAAAAGGAAACTGAAAGAACTTATATTGAAAGTAGTGAAGGAAAGTAAGAAAAAAAGGATTAAATATCAATTTCAAGAAGACAGAAAGCATGGTTGTTAGCAAAAGGGACAACCCAACATGCAAATTACAAATTGGAGATACCAAAATCAAACAAGTACAACAATGCCGTACGAAGGATCCTGTTTACACAGAACTCTTTGGATAGTAATCTTTTCAATGATGGAAACATGAAAAATGTCTATTCAGTTTTTGATTTCCATTTTTCCTAATCCCCAGTAAATGTTATAGGATCATTATTTCCTGGGGTAACGTTATAGTTTGGTTAAACACAGTAAAAATAAAGACGTCAAAGAAAATATTTTGCTACTGATGTATGAATTACAGTTTGTAATTTAATAAATGCGGCTTATATTTTTATATTAGCTAAAAATAAAATTGGTACACCTGGAAGTAATTTAATATTCGAATAACAGGTAAAGCTTACCTGTACTCCCACTAATAAGGAAAAGAAATCAATAAAATTATACACTTATGTAGACAGCAATGGATGTTGGACGTTCTCTTCACATAATGAAAGAAATTGAAGCAACTGAAGCAGATGATTCTAACGACGTATGTGGAAAATACCAGGGAGATAATATGAGAGCAACGAAAAATATTTAAGGAAAATAAGATCTACAAGGAAACTTATAGAGTTACAATCAGAAAGAAACAGTTGAAATTTCGTAGACAGATTATAAGGAAAACAGGTTTGGAGAATTTAATACTAAAAGGACATAAATCAATAAAAGAAAAGGAAAACAACGAGTACCTCATTTAAAGAGCTTGAGTGAAAGGATGGCAGAATGAAAGACGAAGAGGAACGACAAAGAATCAAAATTTCCATGGATTAGCAAAAGACAGGAATTTGTGGAGTGCCATGATCGATTACGCCATCGAAGGAGCAGAAAAAAGAAATTGATCGATGAACTGTAGAAACAAAAGAGGAATTCTAACGCTTCGCGTCGAGCAATCTAGCCTTGCAACGTCATTACGACTGTGAAGAGTTCTAACTTCATAGAGCGCTCTGTACTTGTTGCCTTGTATCAGACTTAATGATTTTAGCCAGTCACGGTGCCTGTTGGTGAACAATGATGAACAAACTCAACACGCATCTTTTAGTATAGTGAATTAAATTTTCGCTTGGTACACAAAGACATGCTTTGTACCAAAGCTTATCATATATCTATGATACATACAACCTTCGCAGTAATGGGTGGTACAATATAAATTATTGAAGTACGTTTTCTAGCTTGTTATTGAATGATTGATGTAATTCATACTGGCAAGGTTTTCGGATTGGACTACAAGTAGTGAATTGGACTCTATTTTGAATTTTGAATTGATTTTCTTCTTATAAGCAGTCCAATTTAGCTTACAGTTGATTTAATAAGGGATCGAAAACACCACAAGTAGGAATATTCAAAATTAGGATCTGGAATTTCAAGATCAGACCAATATGGCTGCCTTAGCCAGAGGTTCGTGTTCTAACCTAAAGAAGCCACAATAATTCCAATGCTGATTTTCGAAGCAGGCGGGAAAGTATTTACCTACTCTCCACCCCAACAACGGTCGTAAGTTTAACACAAGATCAATATTAATTACATGCCGAGTTTTCCAGAAATTTCCTGTTCCCTTGGCACTTCTCTTTTTGGTACACTTCAAGCATCAGGGATTGATTCTGAATTCTCCTTATAAGTGAAATGCGGAAGGTGGCTCTTCGGGTGGGACCCGCTCTATTCGAAATGGACTTTGGTTAATTTTTGCTTCAGGTCTCATAAAGTGCCGGAGAAGAGCTGAAAGATTACTTTAACAGATATTCTGAATACTAACAGCTGCTTCCCACACCAGGATCATTTGATCTCGTATCACTTTATAGTTTTAAGATTACTTTTAATCTTAATAAAATCCTGTTTCAGTTTGTTTTGTTTGGGGGGGGGCTCTTCTCTACATTCTGGCTTTGCAATACGTGGCTCAAAGTGATACAGAGAAAGGATTTTCCCAAATTTAAAATGAATGTGAAAATCCGAAAAAAAATTTGTATCATTTTTGTTACATTCGCGTGTTTGCTAAATGAGTCAGACATTTTTACTTACTCAAACGAGCATTATAGTCATATTATATAAGAGTATTCGAAAGTAATTATATATTTCTCCCTTATAAATTATGAGTCAGCCAACCACGGCAGAATCAAGATTGAATGGTAGGAGAGCTGCATCTAGAATTAGTTTATTATCTCTTTTATCAGACAGTCTATCGTTTATAGTGCCTTTCAGTTTAATTAGGAAAAGTTAGTTGGGTGCCTCAGATTTCGCTTGGAAACCAAACACAACGATCTGCACCAGATATTTTTTTAAACCAAGAATGTCAACCTTTCATTTTCTTTCATCACAATGTTACAATTGATGAAGAATGAGTTTTTGGATGTCAAACGAAAAGGAAAAAGTGGTTATTTCAAAATTAGAAATCAGTGTTAGCACCAAAACCAGGACTACATCCACAGAAGTCCTTGTTTCTATGTATTTCACTACAAAAATGATGCCTTTTTACGCGCTATGGGAACATGGAAGATGCATCACTGTCGATATTTATTGTCAGAAACTTGATTAAATAAACGGAGCATTATGTTGAATGTATCCTGCCTCGGTAAACAGAAAAGGTTTTATGACAAGGCAAATAGACAATCTGCACAACAAGCTCAAGAAAAAAATGATGAGATGAGATGAGAGTTTTTTCCACATCATCCATCGTCACCAGATTTAACACCGACAGATTTTTATTTGTTTCGATAGCTATAACTTTTCATAAGTGGCAAAACATCCAAAACAAAAAGAGAAATCGGAAACAGTCTTTCAAAGTTTTAACATAACACAGATTTCTTTGAAAGTGGAATCAAAGATTATCCTTGCCATTGCGCTGCAGTAGTTGAAAAGGAAGTTCATTGCATTTGTGATAAATAATAGTTACCGTACATACTCGCGTATCATGCGACTTTTGAAGACCTAATTTTGAAGCTAATTTTAAAGGGGTCGCATCATACACGAGATATAAGATTAGCGTTATGTACTGTTGGCCCTGGCTACACCGTTGACCAAACTATATATCCAT